CAATTATGCTAATGCTAGCTGCCTGTCACGTTCTCTCGTCCCGGCCACACCTCCGCTCTCTAACCCCCCTTCCCCTACCCACACCCCCTCCCCTACCCACTTCGATGCATTTTTCAAATTTTGCCTTGGGGCGGAGTTATCTTTTCACAGGGGGGTAAGTTACACTTTAAATCAGACCAAATTAAATCATTCTGTGGAAGACTGACTGGAAACAACAGTTAAAACTTTATCGCTGATGCTTTTTTTTTTTTAATCCGTATTTCAAAATAAAATCCACACATTTTGTATGTAAGCATAAGCTGCATGCACTGCTTCCCAAACAGAATGATAAATTTTGACAGCACCTATGTATAAATATACACATTAAATTCTTATTATAGCTAGGATTTTGACTAAATGTAGTCTGTCTTTGGTGATTTATTTTGAAAATATGGATGTTGTGGTCATTCTCTTTTCTGTGTGGATGCTCTCATTGATTATAATAGTTTTTTACTGCAGAGGTTGGAGTGGAGTTGACAGAGTGTAAATTTGGTTTAAGGCCGCTGGACAAAGGAACAATCTCCTCACAACCCTGAACAAGTTTAAACTAGTTCAGAAAGTGATATACGTATAATGTGCTTGCATATCACTAAACACCTATTGTTACCTATGTAATATCCTCTGTACTGTGATTCTTTGGCATCTTCCAGCAGTTTCCTCACTAGCCCCTGATGGCTCCTGGGCTGTGACTTCACATCAACACACTCTCTCCAGCCTGCATGAGAAGGAAAGCGAGAGACAAATGATCATTTTTATGCAGTCTGGGAAAATCATTCAGTTGCCAAGTATTAATTTGCTGGCAGGTCCTGAATACTGCTTGCAGAGTGATAAGGAAGCAGGAGTGCTTGTACAACAAAACACCTGAACACTTTCAGAATTTCTACTTTCTTTCATTCTAAAGCCCTGCAACAACATCTCACCATAAAYTGGATCGTTAACTACTTCTCTTTTGACAAAACGCAGTCATATTTTTGCTTTTATATTCCATCTAAAAACCTTAGTGCAGCATTATGATTAGTCAAACAGCGTGAAATCAAAAGGAATGGCAGGTAATGTAGCAAAGGGAGGTTAGGGCTACAAGCAAGAAAGATTATGAGCTAAATTCAAACTCACAGGAATGCTCCTGTGAGKTACAAGGCCCATTGATTCACAATGACACCCTTATTTTTCCACATTTTATTAATTCATGAATCTGTCATGAGTGGATTCCACTTCTTTCATGTAAAACTCAGTATCAGCTAAATAAAACCTTTATGATGACAAGACAAAACCAGAAATAATGGTGGCCTGTAAAACTCTCCTTTTTGACAAAACAGTTCAGGATAATAA